GCGCCCTGGAGTTACATAGGAACTTCACCTGCTTGTCTATGTTCACTGTTGAAACCAATGCTTGCTGGTCTCAGGTAAAATCCACGCGACCGAAACGAAGGCAGCCGGCGACGATTGGCCCAGCTTCAGCGGACGAGTTACTCGGCAACAACTTTTGCAGACGTATTCGCTACCTCAGTTTCTTGCGGACACGTCTTTCTGATGTGTTTTCAATTGGGCGATTGAATGCATTCTTGCACACATCTTTCCTTGCTGCTCCCAAACTGGTGGCGTGCACGGCTTCCCGCCTAGGATGGCCAACTTGCTGGCTTGCAGGTTGTGCACGCTGGCCAACTTGCTGGAGTTTCGGCAAGCAAGAGTGTACCCGTTTTTGTTGCTGACTTTATTGGGATCTCCCTTGTCTTTCTTCAAAGCACGCATCTGCTCATATATAGGCCTTGAATCTGAATTGAAAGCGCTGTATGGAGCAGCTCGGTGTCGGCTGCCTGACTTGGGGCGACCATGGGGTCGAGGAGATCCACACGTACCCGCCCCTCCGTGGCATTAGGGGTCGAAGGGCTGCGTGTGAGAGAAAGGGTGAGCGTTTGGTACACGCCCTCTGATCCATGCCATTAGCCTCCTTTGTTTGTCAATCTTTCGATGGGCTTATCTTTGCTGTATGTTCATCCCAAAAATTGCTTTGCAAAAGCAAATAGTGCTTGTGCCGTCAACCGTAATGACACCAAGCTGTTTAAATGGAAGCGAGAAACGTCCGTACAGCAAGGGTGTCCATTAATTCTTTTGATGGGAGGATCCACTCTGTTCTTGATCCATGCGCAGACCAGGCCTTTCGGACACGGTCTTTCCTCGAAAGCTTTCAAGAAGAAGGCGAAGGACCTGCCTATCAGGGTGATAAGACGATTTGAAATCATGCTATCGTACGTTTTGCCACTCGGGTGGCGGTGGTTGGTCGCACGTCGCAGGATGTCTTGAAGAGCATCTTCAAGGCGATCCGAGATGGTGATGTCTTGGCGTTCTTGGAGAAGGCGAGCCTTAAGTTCGCATCCTACCAGGCAAGATTTTGGATTGAAGTTGTTGGAAAGGATAACAGTTCGACATAAATTTGAGGCACTTCTACAAGCAATTTTCCACGCCGTTGTAGTACATGTGGGCAAAGCACGCGATGCAAGTTGCAAAGTGCTACTGTAATTGCAGGCACAGCTGGACGGGTGGGATTGGTCTCTTCAAGACAATCCGGTCCGCCTGCATGTTGGAACGGGTTGCAGCTACAAAGGTCGGAAGCTGACCAAGCAAAAGCTGCAGCAACCTGGCTGCATCAAAGTGACATGCTCGGGAGTTTGCAAGAGTACTGAGTACTACTGTGTCAAGGTACAAGTAGTGTGGAAAGAGCAGCAGTTTCAGTCAGCTTTCTGAGGCTGCTGCTGAGACATGTTTGGAGGTCCAAATGTGTTGCGCGGCAGCTTCGGCGGCTGAACCTGCCGCCTGCTGCCCTGAATATCCACTCGATGTTTCGGAAGGCCATATATAGAATTTTGATCGTCATGGCCAATGTCGCCACAGCCTTTGTTTGTCATTGATCTCTCGGGCCACACAACGCCCACGGAAAGGCCCAAAAAAAGGCTGGCCTCGCCACAGCT